TATGTTGTTGAACAAGCAAATACTGTATGATTGGCATCTGGTACTTTGCTCAGGAAGCCTGCTGTTTCTTGAAATGTGTGATTCAATCATCATTTGCCTTCCCGTATTTCATGAATGCAGTTGATGGTGCAATGTCACAACACAAAGGTTTATAAAAGAATTAGCTTTATTGGCTTGAGCTTGTCTGGGCCTAGGAAGATACTCCCTGAGCTCTTTAGATACCTCCTTTTGGCAGGATGGATAAAAATAAATGATTTTTTTAAATAATCAGATTGATTAAAATCATAGTTTAAACCATGATTTAAATCATCAAAAAGCAATTTTAACAATTTTAACAATTATTTAAACCAATAAAATCAATTTGATTTAAATCAAATCCACACGGCTTTTGGTCTGCCATCACTGGGAAAATATGCTTATTTTGTGACATGGGCAGAATCACAATTTACTGTTCCTGTTTTTTCACATCACCTCCATTGGGAAAGATGTGAGCATTTTCTAATGTAGGAGCAGACTTTTCAGTAATCTAGATAGAGTAGCAAACGAAGATGAAAGATGTAGAATAGAAAGAGGGTGGATTGGAGGCCTGCGTTCCAGAAGGCATAGTTTTAAGTACTGAGTACAGCTTTTTGCAAAGTAAGACAGATTCTGTAATAAATTTCTTTTGATAGAAGATCAGGCAGGATTAGGTCTCCCAAAATTTAAGAGGGTGCAGATTATTTTTTTGTTACATTTGCAGTTCTTCTATGGGCTAGCCTTGACCCACATTCTACTCTGCCTGTCTTTCAAAGCCACATGAAAAATGTCTGCAACTTTGGGAATGGTGTGTGTGCTGATTGCTGTTGTCTTGTTTTTGTTGCGTCTCTAGATGTTGTGGGGCACCAGCTCCCTTCACCCCAGACAATATGACTAGTGGTGAGGGATGATGGGAGTTGCTATCCCAACATCATTTGGAGGGCCACAAGTTGCCAATTCCATATTAGAGTCCCAGAGACCTTTTAAAAAATAGGAAAGGACACTTATACAGTATGCAATCGTCGTATTTAAAGAGAAGTCAGACTGTTTTCAGTTTGTTCCCCCAAGTTAAGGTCTGTCCACTGCTTCCCTAATTCCCTGTTTGAAGCCTCCATTGATTTGCTTCCAGTGCTGAGACCTGCTGATTGGGGAGGTAGATTAGGAAGAAAATAGATTCCGGTCTTTTGAGAAACCACTTTCCAAAGAACCAGATAGCTTTTACATTCCAGTTTGCATTTCAAAGTGTTGGTTGGTTGGAGCTTGTGCTTTGTGAGTGGTAAATCAGCAGTAGTCAGGTTCATAGTCTAGCTGGCCCTTTTCTGCCTTGCCCAAGGCCCCAGCTGGTTGAGTTTGGAGGAATGTAGGCCAACAGTGATGTCCCCATTGCCAGCTCTCTCATGAACTTGTGCAATAGTTTTCATATAAGGTTTGTTAAATCAGATCCTCTAGCTGATCACACCATGAGGTGTTATCACAGAGTATCACATCTCACAGAATTATATGCATGGTGAAAGGATGGATTGCATGTTTCCTGTTCTGCTACTTGAGAATATAGATAGCAGTATGTGAAATGGATCTGAAATGCATGAATTGTCTCTGTTGAAAACACTATATTTGAAAGTTGGAACAGTGGTTTAATATGTAGTGGTACATTACCCCATGGAAGTTATCAAATGATGACCAAGCATGTGTGAACTAGCCGTAACTGAAATAATTGCATCTGAGCTGTTTTCTAGTTTTTTACAACCAAAAAAGAGGTTGTGTATGCATGGGTGTATATGAATGAGTAAGTATGACAAGATGCTATTGGTTATTGGTCACACTGGTTAATCTCCTCTGATTTTTGATATTAGTGTTCATTTTAAATACTGTATTTGTCAGTGTTATGGAAATGCTACTAAGTTGAGACTTTGGTCACAACCTGAATTGAGGGAGGGGGAATTTGTAGCCCACAAGTAAATTGTAAACCACCCAGAAAGTGCTTTAAGCACTACAAGGCAATATATAAGCAGCACACTTTAAAACTTTGCAGCTACTATGTATAATATATGCTTGATCTTATACATGCTGTAGAAAAAAATATTGCAAGGATTGAAATATTGAAATGATTATTATTAGCAATACAAGTTGCATTGCAAAATGCCTTTTCCCCATGTCCTTAACAGCAGAATTCCGTACATATAGACAACCTTATGTTTTGTTTCACTATGACGTCTTACCACACAAAAGTTTTTGTAGCAATGAGTAGAATTGGTATATTAATACTTTAAGGAAACAATTCAATGATCATCTTAAATAAATGTACTGATCAAGTGGTCTTTGGAAGAACTATGTCATCTTAAGAGGACATTAAATTCGCTTGCCCTAATCATCCCAAAATGTGCACAAAGCTTTGGCTAAGTTCCTGATTATCTTGATTCTTTCTTGATACACTAGAGGTCAGTATCTGATGATGGTAACTCATGCAAGGGTAGAGCTTCTGCTCAGATTTTCCATTTCAGTCAAATCTCAGTCATCCATCAGAATTGTACGACTTTGCAGTGGTGCCACTTTACATTTGTAAGAATGTTGCTGGATTCCCTTTTCTGTAATGTATGTCCTTGTAAAAGTTTTTTCTTAAAAGCATCTTGCATTTGAATTCTCTGCTTATCAGGAATAACAGCAGTTACTGCATCTGGGTAATAGTATTGAATGAAAAGTATAACGAACTCTTCAGCATGTTTGCCAAACATTCATGTTGTTTGGCAGCCCCTTTGTCTAGTACATGAGTAAGCACAACACTATTTACCAGAGTAATCTTCTCTCTGTTTACGCTATACATCACTGGGTCATTTGGAAAGTGTTGCACATTTCATGCCACTATTATTAGCACAGTTCCCAAATAATTCTCATAGAATCAAACAGTGAATCCTTTAGGACTACCAGTTTTACCTTGAGCTTTAAGTATGGCAGCATCATGCATTTTTTGTTCATTTATTCATAAGGTTCTTTCAGAGATTAGGATTCTTAAAAGGACCTCCCCCCCCCACCCTGTAGAACAAAGAGTTGCAAATAAAAGCATGTGTGTTTATTTATGTAGTTCATTGCTAAAAAATGGAACAATGTGCACCAAAGCTTTTAGATAACTTCAGGAGGGAATTAGACAAATTTGTGGATGATACAAGTTTGTGCACCAGTAGCTATTAATTACAACAGCTGTATGAGTTGTAGTCTTCCCAAAGATCACTACACTCAGATTCAGTATGCAGGTTGGTGGTGCTTGCAGATATATTTAGAGCAATGGTTCCCGAAATAACCCAGGTGTCCTTTGACTGCAGTTCCCAGAAACCTTCGCCACCAACTGTGGATATCTGGGAGTTGCAGTCCAAGAACACCTGGGTTATCCAAGGTTGGAAACCACTGATCTAGAGGATCGAGTCACCAATGTCATACAGAATGCCTTTTAGCAACTTTGCCTGGTGTACCATCTATAGCTGCCCGTGTAGCTGAATAATCTGACTGCAGTGCAAAATATAACTGTAAATATTTTAACTGGGACTGAGTATTATGAATATTTGCTATCTTGCCATCACTAGTCTGCAGTTTATTTCCAGATCCAATTCAAAGTACTACTTTTAACCAATGAAATTCTGAAAGTTTGTGTCTTTGACATCTGGTGGAATCCTTTTTTCTGTGTATACCTACCTGTGGCCTTAGGTCATCTTGAGAAATCTTTTCCGTATGTCACAGTAACCAGATATTCAGACCGTGACCGTGAGAGAGAGAGAGGGCTTGGTGATAGTTCTTAGACCCAGGAATGCTATCCCAGGGTTGTAATCTTTTCTGTAGTAGTCTTTTCTTGTCCAGGTTTTAAAATATCTGCTTTTACATTCCTGTGATTTGGTTTTAACTCGTATTCTGATGGGCTATCTTAGCTCTTCTAATCCATGGCGTTATGCCTTGATGGTTTTCAATGTTGTCTTTGTTGTTTTTTAATTTTGGATTTTATTACATAAATTGATTATAGAAACTTTACAGTGAAACTTTGTATATGAAATTTATGAAAGAAATATCTGGCAAGCCACTCTGAGGAAAAGGAAAGTGTACTAGGGGCATAGGGGGCCTCTTTATGTCAGACTCTTAATTCCTGTTAATGCCAGCCAGCATGGGATGTTATGATGGATGTTAGCTAGCCACATCTGAAGAGACGGAGGTTCCCCACCTCCGAACCTGAAGGACCTTTGTACTATCAGAGCTACTCTTATGTGACAAAAGGACAACATCACAAAAGGGATAAGTGGTCAAGCCCAAAAAGTTCACTGTGAAATAATTGATGGTAGAGGATTGTCTTCAAAGAACAGTCTGATTTTATATTGCCTGGATAATTGTTTGAAAATGCTTCAGTTACTCATACTATAACAAAAAATTCATAGTGCCTTGTGTATGTTTTGCTCTCATAATAAACTGAGCTAGCTTCTGAAGTGTACATGAGATAGGACAGGTGTTCTCATTCTGATTTGTTCCTTATTGTTGAAGACTTTCTTGAATCTTGCCTGACTTGTTTCACTCTTTGTTTATACCGAAAACTAAACAGTTGATTCGTTTTCAATGTCTTTATCATGAACTCCTTCTTCTGCCCCCTTGCCTAAACAAGAATGCAACACGAATACTGTAGTTTGTCTATCCATTTCTGTTTTCTTTCTTGCTCCATAATACAAATTCTACTCATGGAATAGCTGAATGAGTGAAGATTTATTTCCTCCATTGCCAAGTAGCTCTGTAAAACCTCCGAAATATATATTTTTACATGCTGTTCATTGCAACCACAATTGACTTGATTGTGCTCTAAGATTGATCTGAAATCACCATGAACCACTGCACAATTTTCTTTCACAGCCTGCTTACATCTTTGCATTCAGACACCCGTTAAAATCAATTAAGGATTTATAATCTCAGTGGCTTGGCCCTACATGTGGTTTTAACCGTTGTTTGTTTCTTTAATCCAGGGGAAAGTGCCTTCAGATCAGAGTTCTCCACTGAGCACCAGGATTGGCAAGCTGTGGCATCATGGGCAAGCATTAAGGTAAGTGTTGTTTAAGAAGGATAATTGAATGGTGTTAACTTTGGTTTGACACTCTTTTATAATGGAAGTTGAAGGTACACATTGCTCTGGAAGTTACATGGTAATGGTGAAAAACCTGCCTGCAAACCATGTGGAATTTATAGTCATCACAGAAAATGGTTAGTTATATTTGCTACAGAAAATGTTCTCTCCATTATGAGTACTATCTGCACATTTAAAATTCTCTTCTGTGAAATAAAAATATAGCACATGGTTTCTCATCCAGTCAGTGTTTTGTGGGGCAGACAGTTGGGAGTGAGAAATTGTTTCCATAGCAGAAAGAACAAACTTCTATAACCATTGGCTGCAGAAGAATTATAAAATATCCTTAGCTGTGTGCATACCTTGGAAAAGTTCCTTTTTAGGAATGCATCTCTCATAATCCTCTGAACATTACTTCAAGGTGGTGGATTACCAGGCCTAGCCCAAAAACATTCTGCTGCCTATGGTGACTTACATAACAATACTTTTCGCCCCATTGTCTGATTTCACTGAAAACTGACCGAAATGATACTTACATCTAATTTAGCACTGAAGAGGAGCTAGCCAGCCCTTCCAGTGTCATCCTAGCTGAGGAATTTTGGAAGTTGTGTTCCAAAATGTACCTTTAAAAGTTTTGCTCACCATCACTGCCTCTTTTAAGGAGCCCGGAAAACGTCACATGGCACACCCATGCCGTGGCTCTCCACATCTGCTGCCTAAAGCAGTGGCCCCCCAACCTTTTCTGAGCTGCAGACCGGTTGGAGGGCCGGGGTCTGTGCGCAGGGGGCAGGGCACCCCCCATACTTGCGGGTGGGCAGGGCACGCTCGCGTATGGGCAGGGCACACTCATGCACATGCGTGGATGGGCGGGGCATGTTCACGTGCGTGCACGGATGGTGGAGTGCACTCTCGGGTGGGCGGGGCACCCGTGCGTGCAGATGGGCGGGGCGTGCGTGTGGGGGGAGTGCATGCAGGGGCCCCCGGAGATCTGTCTCCACAGCCTGGTCCTGCCATGGCCGCAGACCGTCACCGGGCTGCAGACCAAGAATTGGGAACCCTACGCCTAAAGTACCCACCTTACTCTGTTTAAAAGGAGGGCATTTATGTATACCACAATTTATGCTGTCGAATTTTAGGTTGACTATTTAAGAAAAGTTGTCTCACACTGTGACATCTAGGGATTTGGTGTGACATTGGCTCATCCTTGCCCATTATAATAGACAGGGAGAAAGGGCTGCCTTCCCCAATACTCTACCCTTAATCCCAGTTTGGAAGGCTTGTGCTTTAGAACTTAACATGGCTTAGAATCTTTGGCCACAGAAGTTTTGAAACAGTTTGCCATGCTTTCTGTCTGTAAACTCAGCGTGCCAGAAATAAACACTCTTCTGGCAATAATGCCTTGCTCTGGCACAAATCAAGTAGGAAATTATGCTGTTTTGCTTCTTTTCCTCTTGTTTCTTTTAGGCTGGGACAAAACCCGAAGGAATTCCCTGATAAGGGTCTTGTTATTCAGTATTGTAGAATTTGGACAAATGCTTTATGCATTCTGACTTCCACTGTGTTTGGACATCTTGACTAAACTGCTTTATTTCTCTTTTCTCCACTCTCTTTTTTCTTTGCTTGTTACCCCTAATGATTGCAGAAATTCAAATGATAATTACCTTGGGATAATGAGGTGTCTTTTTGCTTATGTTTTGTGATGCACTACATACCTACCGTGTTTCCCGGAAAATAAGACAGGGTCTTATATTAATTTTTGCTCCAAAAAATACATTAGGGCTTATTTTCAGGGGATGTTTTTTTTTCATGTACAACAATCTACATTGATTCAAATACAGTCGTGTCATCTTCTAGTTGCTGCACAAGGGTGGAAAACAGGGTTTCGCTTAACTGGAGCTTATTTTTCGGGTAGGGCTTATATTACGAGCATCCTGAAAAACCATACTAGGGATTATTTTCAGGGAAACAGGGTATTCAGACCTACAGAAATGATATTTCTGCAGGAAGGGTCATAGTTTCATGCAGAAGAGCGGTTCAGAAAGGACATCCTCCTTCCTATGGCAAGTGGAAATAATACACTTGTGACATCCATTTGTTAGCTTTCTGCTGGCAAAGGTACAGCTCCCAGAGTAAGCAAATGGTCGAGATGAAGCTTATCCTACCACTCTATTTAGAATGATGGTGCAGTTGCTCCTGTCACCAGGACAGATAAAGCAGGGCCATATTTTGTTCCTGGTTTCAGGCTGAGCTTCTAAAAATAGGAATGAACTGATGACTGTTTGGGCTAATGAGATGCACTTGATTAGGCTTAGAAATCTGAGTTGCATACGAACAACCACAGATCACCCTTCCATTCACTCATTGTGAATGGAGAATCCTAGCCTCCTATAAGAAGCTTTCTTCCCAGCTGCTTTTTTCCAGTAGGGTGGCTAGGAGTGAATTGCCAGGGTTATACTTTTGAGTCTCCATGTGCAGCCTTATGGACTTGATTATGGGGCAGTTTCTGCTAATCTGATGCCAGTTTTTAGCAGTGAATGGTGTGTAAGAAAACAACGTAGTGTTTGAAGCACCCTCTCACGTGAATGACCTTTCTTATGGTCATGTATATGGTTACTGCTGTTAGAGAGTTGATAGAATGTTAGAAAGTTGGTTTACAGACAATGACTCAGGAAGCCCTTGCTTTGTAGTATAGTTCTTCCAAAAACATGGTGTAGCTTGATATGTAGAAAGCCAGAGTCTTTCAGCCTCAAGCTCCATCTGCAAGAGGTGAATAATATTAAGCTTACAAGAGTTGTTGTAAGAGCAATAAAAATAATGTATAGGAAGCTCTTTGATGTGGCGTAGCAATTAGAATGTTGTTGCACTGAAGCTTTAGGGAAGCAGATTCTAGCTTCTATGCTCACCAGCTCACCTTGAACCAATCACTTTCTTTCAGTCCGGCCAGCCTGAGGGGGTTGTTGTGAAGATAAATTGGGAAAAGGGAAGATGTACAGTATCTCAACTTGAGCTTATTGTCGGGAAAGTGGGATATAAATATGTTTTATTTCTTGTTTCGGTTTTGGGTTATGTATCCTTGTGGACGAGGACCAATATGATTGTAAAGGAGGAAATATTGTCAGAAACTAGTAGCACCAACATAGAGATTCCAGGCTCTACATATGGTCAGATGGTTTTCTATAAGTTTTCCTCTGATACTTGATCCAGAAATATTGCTTACATTTAATCAGTAGCGAGGGAAAGGTGCTCTGCACACTTATTTCCTTAGATTTTTATCTATTAATTAATTTATTTATTTAAAATAATTCACCCCACCTTTCTCCTTAAAACAACACTATGCTACCCTTCTTCAAAGAAGCTTGGGCCAGTGTACTTTTTCCCCGTGACCAAAGATTGTCTTCTCAGCCACCATATGAGGTAGGCGAGGTGGACAACGCGGAGTTATCAGTGGTTTCCAACCTTGGGTAACCCAAGTGTTCTTGAACTGCAGCTCCCAGAAACCACAGCCAGCACAACTCGTGGTGAAGGCTTCTGGGAACTGTAGTCCAAGAGCACCAAGGTTGAGAATCACAGTCTATATAGCATTCATGGCCGAGCAGGGATTGGGATGTCAACCTTTTCAACCTTTGTGGCGTAGCAATTAGAATGTTGTTGCACTGAAGCTTTAGAGAAGCAGATTCTAGCTTCTATGCTCACCAGCTCACCTTGAACCAATCACTTTCTTTCAGTCCGGCCAGCCTGAGGGGGTTGTTGTGAAGATAAATTGGGAAGAGGGAAGACGTACAGTATCTCAACTTGAGCTTATTGTCGGGAAAGTGGGATATAAATATGTTTTATTTCTTGTTTCAGTTTTGGGTTATGTATCCTTGTGGACGAGGACCAATATGATTGTAAAGGAGGAAATATTTTCAGAAACTAGTAGCACCAACATAGAGATTCCAGGCTCTACATATGGTCAGATGGTTTTCTATAAGTTTTCTTCTGATACTTGATGCAGAAATATTGCTTACATTTAATCAGTAGCAAGGGAAAGGTGCTCTGCACACGTCTTATTTCCTTAGATTTTTAACTAATTTTAAATAATTAATTAACTAATTTAAAATAATTTACCGCACCTTTCTCCTTAAAACGATACTATGCTACCCTTCTTCAAAGAAGCTTGGGCCAGTGTACTTTTTCTCCGTGACCAAAGATTATCTTCTCAGCCACCATACGAGGTTTCCAACTGCAGCTCGCAGAAACCACAGCCAGCACAACTGGTGTTGAAGGCTTCTGGGAATTGCAGTCCAACAGCACGAAGGTTGAGAATCACACTCTGTATAGCATTCATGGCCGAGCAGGGATTGGAATGTCAACCTTTTCAGCAATAGCCTGCTATACTGTCTCCTACACTGCTTTCCCTATATTGTTTTTCCAACAGGTTGCCCTCTATGTGCTTTGAGCAAAAGCTTTTGTCTCTAAGCCTTGGTCATGCTGGGGCTGAAGTCCAAGTGTTGCAGGTTACCTATTTATCATCCATTGGTTTTGATCAAAGGTTTTTTTTTCCATAGCTTTCTGTATTCCAAGGCTGAGCTCAGAAATGAGAAACATAGTTTTGATCAAAGGTAGTTTTATCATAGCTTCAGGTATTCCAAGGCTGAGCTCAGAAGTGAGGAACATTTTTTAAAAAAAATTATAGCTTCCAGCATTCCCTTGCCGGCCACCATGGAGTCGTCAAAAAGCCCACATTTCCCTTCTCAGACTGAGCCCTGATACTGCAAGCTGGTTCTGGGCCTGAATCCAAGCTCAAATTAGACCCTGCGATGCCCTTGGGGGCCATTTTAAAGCTCTTCCTGTGGAAGTCCTTCTATTACACCACGGCGACAGCAACCCACAGTACATTCTATGTCTATGGAGTGTTTGTAAATGTATTCCCCTCTCTCTGGTTTGAGGGGGCATGGCATGCATGGTTTCTCATCAGGGAACGCTNNCCCCCCCCCCCCCCGAAAGAAAAGGGTTTTAAAGATAGCTGTTGGCAACAAAGTTTGGAACTTTAACTTCACCCAGTGCGAGTCACAAACTGGGCAGTCCAAAAATGTCTCTGTGGGTCATTTCAAGCTCTCAGGGAAACTTGAATATGCAGCTAAACAGAATGGTTTGTGAATGAGCCAATGGAGATGGCTAGGCAGACAGGGACCGGGCAATGTGGTTTCTTTCCCACAAGTGGGAGGGGGCCGGCGTGTGAGCCAGAAGATATAAGCTGAAACAAAGCGAAGCTGTGTCTCTCTGAATTGTTCACATACACCGGACAAAGTAAGACTTGGGAGAGAGAGAAAGAGAGAGAGAGAGAGAGAAGTCATGATTCTAACAATGGAAACTGGTAAGGCTTCATTTCATAGAGGTTAAAACATCAAAACAAGGAATGCACATGTTTTAAATAACTGTATTCGGTATAGCAAGGTGGTGTCTTGTTTGTGGTTTCTTATTTAGTGTAGATCTTCCCATGTAAAAGCTTTTCAGGAGAGTCTATAATTTTCTCTAGAGAAAAGAACACACTGTGGGAAAACACTTTCTTTCATAGGAGCTCCTTGAAAGAGATCAAGGACATTTCCAGTACATCCTCAATCATGTTCCCAGAAGCAGGAGATACGATAAATGTGGGAGGAGCTGAAGAATGGGAAGTGATGTTACAGTATTTCATTCCAGGCCAGGTCATGGCATTTATTCATTATGAAAAGACTAGTCTGTGCTTACCATTGAGAAGGGTTAAGGAGGGAAGTCTGTGCTTATTGTTATACATGTAGATTGGTGGGCTTTTGTTGTTATTGATATAGAATATTTTGGTGAGCTGGATGTAAGACGTTCAGGTAAGAGCTCTGTAACTCTGGAAAAACGGATGTTTGTGGATCATTGTATTAGTATTAACTGTTTTGAAAATGGAACTTTCACTTTACATGTAGTGTAGAATTTTAACACACTCATCCTGTTTTCCATGTTTGGAATACATCTCTACTTCTGCATAAACATAGGTTTGTAGTATAATGCCCAATATGTTTGGTGGGCTTACTCCCGGGTTGCAGTTCTAAGCGTATTTACTGTGGAGTAAATCTCATTTTCTCAGTGGGACTTCAGCAAACATGTTTTGGATCCTGTGAAAATCAAGAATGGGTTTAATGCATTTCTGTTTCCACCTTTCCCCCAGGAAATCCTGGGAACTGTAGCTTGTGTGTAGAAACTGTCAGCACACTCCTCAGTGCTAGTAGTCTTTCATGGCAGTTATCATTGTTCAACTGGTAGTAAACAGATGCATGCATTTAGTGTTACGTGTGTCTTATGCATCAATGATTGCTATCTTGTTATGGAAACATATGTTGGACTTTGAATACTGGTCTGACACCATGGTGTTTTCTGGAAAAAAAATTAGGTTAACTGCATATGGTTCCAGCAGTGAAGCCTATGTACTCATAGATGTATTGTTATAGTGTATTGTTATCCTTTGTGAATTTAATGTATCCAGCTACTTGTTGCTGGCTATTTTTTTGTCCTAAAAACATGTGGATTATTGCTACTGCTGTCTTGCCTTTTATCTCATTCCATAATTCACTGCTGTTTAAGATGCAGAATTTATGAGACTCTTGTCCAAAGGAGCCTGAGCATTTAACCTGTGTGGACTTAAGGAGTTCATGTAGATGATGGAAACACGAATCTAGTGGTAGAAGTGCAATAAGAGAAGATGTGGCATGCTTTGATTTTGCTGCCGGCAACCATTCCTTTCTACAGTTTGTCAAAAGAAAGCCAAGTTAAAGTTTCATGCCAGGTGTAATGCATGAATCATATGAGTCAGTCTTGTACAGTTCATGTAGTTGTTCAGATCCAGGCATGAGGGAAAGCAACCATATGACTGACTGGTGTTTCAGAAGAGCTTCTTGCTAGCCTCCTTCTTCAGTACATTCTTCCAATGTGCAACAGAGTACCCCTCCATGTGCCGTCAGCTAATGGCCAGCCAATAATCAGTGGCCACTTTTTCAGTGGTTTCTATTAATTATTTCCTATGCACTTCCCTGTCTGCAATTATGGGGTTAGCATCTCTAGACGATTCCTACATTGCTTTAGAAGAAGGGATGGGATTGTGTGATTCTCCAGATGTACTTGAATTCTAGTTCACATCATCTGTCACGACTTGTGCTGGTTAGAACTAACTTGAATTCTAGTTCACATCATCTGTCACTGTTGACTTGTGCTGGTTAGGACTGATGGGAATTGAGGGGAGACATGTTCTCCTTCCCTGATCAAAAGCCTAAGAAACAAGTCCTCCTAAATTTAATGCACCAAATCCTCTTGTGTTCAGGTGTCAATCATTTTGAATCTGGTGTAGTCCTAAACAGAAAATGAAAACTGACATTCCAACATTCCAATGCTATCCTCGGAATAAGTAGGGTAGTTTTGAAGGAGTATAGAAATTTGTCACAGCATACATGTAATAAATCTTACAATGTTAAACGGCATGGAGGACCTTCTGTGCACAGAGTTTTGTGTATGATAGAATCCTCTAAAGCAGTGGTTCCCAACCTTGGGTCCCCAGATGTTATTGGACTAAAACTCACCATTAGTTGTGCTGGCCAGGCTTTCTGGGAGGTGTAGTCCAAGAGCATCTGGGGACCCAAGATTGGGAACCACTGCTTTAAAGGATCAGATTTCACGGATCACAAGAAACATGCTATTTCTTGTAACTTTCTTCTTTGCCAAATCCTTTACAGCAGTGGTTCTTAACCTTTGTTACTCAGATGCTTTTGAACTGCAACTCCCAGAAACCCCAGTCAGCACAGCAGGTGGTGAAGGCTTCTGGGAGATGCAGTCCAAAACTCCTGAGTAACCCAAGGTTAAGAACCAGCGCTTTACAGCAAAGAAAAAATTGTGTATACCTATTAACATTTCCTTAAAATCCAAGTTCCTAGCTTTGCTTTACAAAGCATTGTTCCTTTAGTTTAGTTTTAGTTTTGATTTTTGTGTGTGTGTGTGTGATATTGTCGATGGGCTGCCCTCTCTCTCACTTCTAAATGTTTACAATACTTTTTGTATTTTTAATATACTGCAAAGTGTTGCCTTTATAAGGAAAAAGCAGGAAGCATCTACTGACTCACATTGTGCTAGGAACTTAAAACTACATTGCTGAGTTTTATTGGGACTGACTAATTTGTCCAATGCCTTGAGGAAGAGTTTTATTCTAAACTTAAACACAGCAAACCTTTTTTATAGTTTTCTCACTAAGTGTAACACACACCCCTTTTGATTTAATGTAGTAATAAACAATGCACAATTTTTTTGGAAACAATTAATACCGTGTTTCCCTGAAAATAAGACAGGATCTTATATTAATTTTTGCTTAAAAGCAACACATTAGGGCTTATTTTCAGGGGATGTTTTATTTTTTTCATGTACAACAATCTACATGTATTAAAATACAGTCATGCCATCTTCTTCTGTTGCTGCACAATGGTTGAGGCTCAAATACAGTCATGCCATCTTCTGGTTGCCGCACAATAGTGGAGGCCAGGGTTTCACTTAAGTGGGGCTTATTTTTGGGGTAGGGCTTACATTACGAGCATCCCAAAACATCATATTAGGCTTATTTTCAGTTTAGTTCTTATTTTGGGGGAAACAGGGTATGGTACATGTCACTTATGGTTTTTTCAAACATTATTTTACCAATTATATATGATGTGGCACTCTGTATTATCCCTTAAGTCAGTGGCGAATGGTCTTTTGGGTGCTGCCTACATCTGCTTACCTCCTTAGCAAAGTACAGAGGATTAAGGCCCTCCCTGTATTCCCATCCTGCTGAACTATAGGCCTTGGGATCAGTGTGGGCGTGTAGGGGGAAAGGATGACAATAGAAGCAGCAGGAGGGGAGGTACAGGATGACTCCATTAGCTCCCCCAACCACTGGTTGAGCCATTTGCCCTGTTTAGCCACAATGGGCACCAGCAGCCATTCTGTCAGGTGAAAGCATTAAATCATGTAAATTGATGCTAGCCATTCACAACCTCTTGGGGGAAGAGATTGCGGTGTCTTCCCTTTGATCATGTCATTCTAAGGCTTTTCTTTCCCACTCCACCTTGATTTCCTTCCCCACTTTCTTTTGCATGTACTTTGGGGAAGAGAGAGGGGGCGTATAGAAAATTTGAAGCAAAAGCTTGGATCCAAAATTTTGACAGTGCTGGAGGGTTTGAAGTAGCTGTAAGGCCTAGTCTGTTGTGACAGCTGACCTGATCCTTCTGCATTTCAAGAGCTATTTATGGTAGATTAGCTGCTATCAAAGCCCCACTGTTCAGCCCATAAAAGGCTGGTCCTGTTTAAAGTTACCACACTGCACTTGGTTTAGTCTTCTAAAGCTGGAAAGCCCATAGTTGTCTGTGAAGGAATCCTAAGGATGGACAGAACTACTGAACTGAAGAATTGTTCTGTTGTGGATTTCAGGTCTCGAAGAACGCTGAAAGGGAGATTTTTGGCAATAACATTTTCCATCGGTTTTCCAGTCTTCAGAATATAGGTCTTGCACATGTACTCCATTTGCTGCCTGTTTACACCATTGGAAAGTACCGTTCTAAATTCAACCAGCTTTGAATCATCTTGGCTGCAGTTCTACTTGTGAAGCCTGCATGCTAGTAATTTGTGTGTCACTCCTGTTTTTTTAGAATCTGAAAATGTGTTTCTTTTGGAGATAAATTTAGTTGAAGCGAAGAGTCTCTTCTGAAGTCTTCCAGTCTGCTCTTATCTACTGGATATAAGATTTTAGTAGGACAGAATTTTTCTTGGGTGAAAATTTTCTTTTGGGTTTTCCCTATATTTAAAAGCAAAAGCAAAAAACAAAAACAAAAACTACCAGGCTAAAGTTTTTGCCGCATGCACACACACACACAAATGCAAACCAGGATTTTAAAGTAAGTAATATACCCTTTTCCCGAAATGTTTGACTGCAGAAGTTTTCAAATCCAGTTGTCTGAGAATGTTTAAGGCTTTGTCAGGTTGAAAAAGCGAATGGGTTTTCCCTCTCTTGAGTTTGTGCATGTCAGTCATACAAAGCATTTTGCAATCTTTTCTTCTTGCCATTGCGTCTGGGGTGAGTTGATTTTATGATGGATTTGAAATGTTTGCCACTTGATGACTTCTTGTGTGAAGTGTGTGACAATTAAATGTGAATGTACTGGCATTTACCATTGGTTTGATGTGCAAGGATTCTAAGAGCTATAGAAAATAGATGATTAATAATAACCTTATATAGAGAGAGGTATAAAATAGCTGATGTGTTTCAAGTACAAGTATTGTCACTTTAAACAGAGCTTAGAAATATACTTTTTGAGACTACAGTTTCTGGAATTC